TTCCGTGCCGGCATGCCATTCAATCCCGTGTCCAGCAACAATGCCCTTCTGATTCTTGCTGTTGGTCAGGAAATCTCTTACTTTTTTTCGAATTCCAGTACTTTGAAAAACCATGTTAACAAATAATGACGGATCAGACTCTTGATACTTCGCTGAATGAAGCTCTTGAGTGATCGCGAGTTGAATCACTCCTTCTAAACCAGCTTTGTTAAGATGGTCAGTCCACGTTCGTTTGATCTCCCATCTTATACACTTTCAATCTGTTGAATCCGGTTTGCATTCAACTGCACCGCACTCGTTCCTCCTTCTCAACACTTCATGCGACCTAGAATAGGTTCGCCTTAATCTCCGAAAAAAAACTGAAAAATTTTGTCGCTTCTTTAATGGAACTCCATCAATGGATCCTTATCCTCAACCATGTTGCTCCTAAAAAGTAAAATTTCCCTCACTCGCACACGTGATTCATTTATAACATTACGCCTTTCCGCCGAAAACATACCTAAAACCATTCTTCAAATAAAACGGTAAGAGATTAGGCACTAACTCGATTGTTTAGCAATCTTATTCGAGTATCCAACAGCATCTTTTCTGTCACAAAAATTCTGACATATTCATATTTGATCTTTCATACATCTGCACGCTCGAAACAGATTCCCTTCCGAAGCTTTCTGTAAAAACATGGCTGAGAATCTCGACTGATTAAATTCACCAATATTCATAATCACATGAATACGGTCTGAATGCATATTGTTTTACGTACTTCCGTGAATTCGTTCTAGTCTTACGTACTCTTCTCGAAGGTATCTAAAAATTTCAGTGCGCTTCTTGTATTTCCATTATGAATAATTCAGAGACTGTAAATTTTCTGAAGTCCATAAGCATTCAAAGAATGGAAAAAATGAAGAATATTCAATGCAGTCATCGTTTGTAGGTGTTGACGATGCGTTTCTGATGTTGGGTGCATGGCGTTCGACCGATCGACGTCTCGGTGTCGAGAAACGAATGGCGCTCGCAATGAGCGATGCAGGTGTTTCGATTACGGTAACGTCACTCACAAACTTCGGTTGCTTTGGTTGGTTTTCTTTCGCTTTAGTGGGGAGTGGGAAGCATTGTGATATTTTGTGAACAATTTCATTTGTCGTTTCAGCGTTGGGTTATTTCCTGTGCTCAACACCAGCTGTGGCCGATTTCTGCATTCTTACGGCTTGTGGCGTAATGCTTGATTACGCTTTCCAAATAACCTTTTTCGCAGCCTGTATGGTATACGGTGGACGAAGAGAGGATGCTGGAGGTCTTTTGTCGTGTTGCTATCACACCGAATCGATCAACGGAAAGTCGAGTTTGAGTGAGAAGCAGGAGAGAAGCTCAAGTTAGTGGATCAATTCGCTTACATTGATATCCTCTTAATCAATTGCATATCTCCTTGCAACTTGTCGACCGTAGTATACGTTCCACTAGTGGCTATATTGAC